GTGCTGCATCCATCATTATGGCTCTCGCTGCTTTCTATCTGCTGCCCGACTGGCCGCATAACACTCGCTTCTGTCTTCGGCCGAACGAGAGATGGCCCAATATCGAGTGCTCTGCTCCAATGGTGGAAAGGATGAAGGCATTGGTGGCACTTGGGACGGCATCAAGGAAGCCGTCATGGATCCTTTCACGTGGTTCTTTTGCCTCATGCACTTCGCCTTGGTCACTGCTCAAGCTTTCAAGGATTTCATGCCTTCGGTAAGTCAGACCTTGGACACGGAGCAAGATGAAACCCAAATTAATACGCGTGCGCAACAGATCGTCAAAACTTTCGACCTAGGCGAGCTGACAACCTATTTCATTCAAGCGCCTCCTTATGCTTTGCATATGCATTTGCATGCGCCTGTGCCTGGTCGTCAGGACGCCGTCAGGAGTCGTTTTGGCACATTGTCATTCCCATCATCGGGAGCATGGTCGGTTGCGCAGTGCTCATCTCGACGGAGAACATAGGCGCCCGCTACTTCGGCCTCTTCCTTCTCATCTCCGGCACCTACAACGGCCTCAATCTGCAACTGTCTTGGGAGACAACCGTCGTGCCGGCACCGTGAAGCAAGAAGGCTGCTCTGATTGCCATTGCCAACTGCATCAGCCAGTGCAGCCGTTGGTTTAGCCCTTACTTCTGGCCCCGCGCCCACAAGCCCTTTTACCGCCTCGGCGGCGGGCTCGTCTTGGTTGGTTGCGTGCTAGTTGTCGTATCAGCCGGACTCGCAAAATGGCGTGCACAGAAGCTGAACAAGAAGCTGGACATTGCCGAGGGATGGTCGGAGCATTCGGGCGTGGAGCGGGGCTGGAGATTCGTATACTGATCGTGACGCCGAACCACACCAGCTCGTTGGGGACGCGAGAGACAAGATTGGGACGGTATTTGGGTCTAAAGCTGCATTTGGAACCAGCCAACAAACGATGAAAACGAATATTGATGATCTAGAATCACTGTGCAGTCGATCTTCCTACAACCAAGCCTTGCCGACCATGCCCCGTGACACATCTTTGACTCTCATGTAACAAGAAGCCTCCCCGAGAATTCCGCTATCACATACGACCATACCTACTGGAAAACTCGGGATCCCGTCCGCTCTCCCCTTGATAAACCAGTAAGGGCCGAACTAGTAGTTGGGTGGGTGACCACCAGCGAATCCTCGGTGTTGTATGTTTTTGGTGTTTTCTCCCGTGGAGACACCCCTGTTCAGGTACACCAAGTGCAACAGGGACTCCGCCTCGAGCCGAACCTAGCCACCCCGAAAGATCTTGATTAATTTTTCAAATCCTTTTTTTGTGGTTAACAGCCTGAAGATGTAGCTATCTAGCAGTGTGGCGGATCCAGCTTACCTTCGGAGAAGAAAATCTCCTCTCGAGCCCACATGTGCAACTTCTCCTTGCGAAAATGTTCAAAATCCCACTCACCCCTCTCAATACGATTAGGATGGATGAAAATGTAGGTGGTTGTTTCCTCCTCTTCGCCCTCGACCTGACCTACACCCTGCGCATTGCCCAATTTGGTGACAAGCTTTACCTTGACTGCTCGCCTATCGTACTCGCTGCCTTCAAAGCTGTCAAGTTTTTGTATGTTCGCGTCTGTCAAACCCGTAACAAAGCTGCCTAGGACGGACTGGCCTTCTTCCGGAATCACGCCTGGGTAGTCTTCGCCCTGGACACGATGCCGGCAATGATCATGTAACACTGCAGGAGTGAAGGTGTACAGGCTCTTGATGACATCAGAGGGGTGTGACGTTCCCTGAACCACTCTGAAGAAGACACGCGGTTCCATCTGCCAGGAACAAGGTCAGTGTTCATGATCGTGCCATGAAAATATAGATAAATGTTACCAGAGTGCCTGAGCGCAATGTTAGCGAAATGGCCATCTGCCTGTGATCTCTGTGGTCAGAACAATAGAGACTCACCATAGAAAAATGCGGTATGCGGTCCACTCATGGTGTATCTACACGCGGACGCAGAGCACAATCACATATAACAGTCGAAGCAATGCCAAGAGATCATCAACGAGTAAAAGACCTCGATATCGCGATTGGCTGTGACTCAAAAGGAAAAGAATTTAGAAACCCGAAGGTGGAAGCACACGAGATCAGGCGTTCCGTACGAGGATGGCTTCTGACTTGAGGGGTGCGTTACCTGACAATCGCTATCTAGGTAGTCAGCCTGGGTAAGGTGTCGAGTCACAGCGGGTTTAGGTGCGGACTGGAGACTCCAGGGGCCGATAACGGGGAAGCTCCACCTAGTTCACGATCTACAGACTTTGGAGATAGAGCGTTGATAAGATTAGATCTCTCTATCCAGTCAAAAGGTCTTAAATCACACGCTAGTAGCGGCCTGCATGTCTAGCGTCGGAGTAAAGTTATTACACGCCCTAGCGTTAAATGATTTGGCGGCCGGCGCCCCCAGCTCTGTTCGTCGCGTCGCTCGTCGTGGAAATTTCACACCAAAGGCTGGCTTCTGAAGGTTTCCCATAATCCAAACACCCACACCCACCAACGTTCAGCAGCCGTGCCTGAATCGACCCGAACCCCACAACGACATACACCGAAGGCATACTGTGGATGACGGATCACAACGGCATGGTGTCCTGATTCTTCTTTGTCGTCTTTCCTTCAGCAACTTTCCTTTTCCGTCGCCAGAGATACCCCTCCTATCACGCGAAGCAAGGCAAGCGGCGCAGCCTTGCGACGAACCGTTCCTCGAACACATCGACATCGAGCACCCCATGCCCTCATGATACACAACACACGCGCCTGTCTCGACAACCTCCCACAATGTCGGGCACAACGATTGACGATGTCGTGAAACGACTGAGCACTCCGGAAACGGGTATGCCTCCCTTTCGACAGCGTCACGAGATCGTGTCTACCTATTGCTACAGAGCGGCTAATGGACGCGAATGCAGAGACGAAGATCAAGGTCGAAGCTGCTACAACGCTTCGCGACAGTCTGGATCACTACACGGCCGGTCCTATCTATGCGCCGTTTCTTAAGAAGCTAATGCCCATCTTCATCAACATTCTCAAAGGACCATGCATCTTCCAAAGCAACTCTCCAGAGCAGGTAGGACAATCTAGCTGTTCCCATTACCAGATGTGCAACCAGTAACACATCCAGAAACTCCGAAACTGTATACTGGAGGTTCTTCACCGTCTACCAACACATCCCTCTCCAACCGAGCCTTTCGAGCCCTTCGCCGAAGAGATCGTCGACCTTTTGATGCATCTCGTACGAACAGACAACGAGGAGAACGCGACATTATGCGTCAAAATCACATCGGATATCATGCGCCATCAACATAAGATGCTGGCTCAGAAAGTCCAGCCATTCCTGACCCTCATTCAAGAGCTTTTTGAGCAGATGGAGAAGGTCGTGCGCGAGCAGCTGGACAACACGTCAATGTCGACAAACAACGCCTCTGGCGCCCCCTCAACCCCTGGCTCTTCCCAAACCAACTTCCAATCTCCTCGGCCAGGCTCACCTGTGGCATCCGTGACGGACCTTGGACCCGATCCCCAACAGCAGAATCGATTGCTCCTGAAGGGCATGTCCTCGTTCAAGGTCTTATCAGAATGCCCGATCATTGTGGTTTCGATCTTCCAGGTCTACAGAAATACGGTCGGATCCAACGTCAAGCTCTTCGTGCCCCTGATCAAGGGTGTTCTATGCCTGCAAGCTAGCGCCCAACGACAAGCACACGCTGATGCGAAGGCCAAAGGTCAAATATTTACAGGTGTCAGCCCCCTGATCAAGAATAGGGCAGCGTTTGGGGAGTTCATCACTGCTCAGGTCAAGACCATGAGCTTCCTGGCCTACCTCCTGCGGCAATACTCGCAACAACTGCAAGACTTTCTTCCGACCTTGCCGGAAATTGTTGTCAGACTGCTGAAGGACTGTCCACGGGAGAAATCGAGCACGCGTAAGGAGCTTTTGGTTGCCATCCGCCACATCATCAACTTCAACTTCCGCAAAATCTTTCTCTCCAAGATTGACGAGCTTCTCGACGAGAAGACATTGATTGGCGACGGCTTAACGGTATACGAGACGATGAGACCGCTTGCTTATAGCATGCTGGCTGATCTCATCCATCATGTGCGGGACCAGCTCAGCCCAGAGCAGATTCGGAAGACAGTCGAGGTGTATACCAAGAACCTCCAGGATAATTTCCCCGGCACGAGCTTCCAGACTATGAGCGCCAAGCTCCTCCTCAACATGGCGGAGTGCATCGCGAAGATGCAAGACAAGGTTGACGCTCGACACTATCTCATGATGATTTTGAGTGCCATCGGAGACAAATTCAAGGCCATGAACACGCAGTACCCCAATGCGGTGAAGCTGTCCAAGTTGTACAAGCAACAGGCTGCCGAGGGAACTGCCGACAGTTACCTTGCTGACAAGGAACACCCGCCTGACTGGGATGAGACTGATATCTTCACGGCAATGCCCATCAAGCCTACGAACCCGAGAGACAGAGGTCTGGATCCTGTTGCCGACAATAAGTTCTTGTTTAAGAACCTCATGAACGGTCTGAAGAACACCTTTTACCAGCTTCGCACATGTAATGCTGGCACCAACGTGAACCTTCAGAATGCCCCGGCGCAATGGCAAGAGGTGGCCTATGGTTTCACGGCGGAAGAGGTCAAGGTTATTGTCAAACTCTTCAGGGAAGGTGCCTATGTCTTCCGCTACTACGAAATTGAGAAGCCTGCTAGTGAATCTCAGTACATGTCTCCCGTGGAGTACATGGCCAACTTTTACATGGTCTCGAGCAGTAAGGAGGAGAAAGACCTGTTGGAAACATTCGCTACAGTGTTTCACTGCATCGATCCTGCGACATTTCATGAAGTCTTTCAGCAGGAGATCCCTCATCTGTACGACATGATCTTCGAGCACACTGCCCTGCTGCACATACCACAGTTCTTCCTTGCCAGCGAAGCTACGTCGCCAAGCTTCTGTGGCATGCTGCTGCGTTTCCTGATGGACAGGATTGACCAGGTTGGGTCGGCAGACGTGAAGCGATCGTCCATCCTGCTCCGGCTTTTCAAACTAGCCTTTATGGCAGTCACTCTCTTCGCCAACCAGAACGAGCAGGTCTTGCTTCCGCATGTGGTGGACATCGTGACAAAGTCTATCGATTTGTCTACCCGGGCAGAGGAGCCTATGAACTACTTCCTGCTCCTGCGCTCCCTTTTCCGAAGCATCGGTGGAGGCAAGTTTGAGCATCTCTATAAGCAGATTCTCCCACTCCTCGAAATGCTCTTGGACGTACTCAACACATTGCTCATGGCTGCGCGCAAGCAAACCGAGCGTGATCTCTATGTTGAGCTGTGCTTGACCGTTCCTGCTCGGTTGAGCAACCTTCTGCCACATCTCAGCTTCCTCATGCGACCATTGGTCGTTGCATTGCGCGCGGGAACTGATTTGGTAGGTCAAGGACTCCGGACCTTGGAGCTTTGCGTCGACAACCTAACGGCCGACTACCTGGACCCCATTATGGCACCAGTCATTGATGAACTCATGACGGCTTTGTTCGACCACCTTCGTCCGCATCCCTACAGCCACTTCCATGCGCACACGACGATGCGTATTTTAGGAAAGCTCGGTGGCCGAAATCGAAAGTACATCACCGGTCCTCAGCCGCTGAGCTTTGAGGAATTCGCCGACGATGCGACTAGCTTCGACCTGAGGCTTGTGGGCTCAAAGAAAGATAGAGCTTTTCCAGCGGAGTTGGGCGTTGATTTGTCCATCCGCAAGCTGATGGAGGTGCCCAAACCTAGCAAAGCCAACCAATCCCGCCAATTCGATGGCTACTACAAGAAACAGTCTTTCCACTTCATCAAGTCCCAACTGAAGCTTAGGATCGGTTTTGACAACCTCCCGGATGACCTGCCAAGACTTCTCCGCCTGCAGGCGCAGGACCTTCTGTCCAGAAAAATCGAAGTCGACCTATCAGCATTTGATGCTTCCGACAGGGATCGTTCCATCGCCAAGAAGGATCAACAGGATGAGCTTGTGAGGCGTCTGCTGAAGGCAGTCATGTTTGCTGAGTCTCTCCCAGAATTCAAGGATGAGGCGGCGTCGTTTCTCACGAACGTTGCAAGGCACTTCACTATTGTCGACATTGGGCGGTCAGTCGTCGATGTCAAGCACACCTACAGCCAATTCAACCCCACGGCTGGCGAGGGGCCCCTATACATCGACACCAGGGTCTTTTCTGACGCCATCGTCGAGTCACTATCGTCCGAACACCCTGATGTGCGAGATTCTGCGCGGAGAGTCATCCGCGAGATCTACAATACGGCATCGACAATCTTTGGCTCAGCACAATCGGCCGCCCGTCTGCCGTTCTTCGGCAATCTCAGCACGACATTTTGCCATGCGTGCTACGAAGAAGAATGGTTCACGAAAGCCGGTGGCACCCTCGGCGTCAATTTTCTTCTCACAGAGTTGGAGCTGGGCGATCAGTGGGCAATCAGCAAGCAGACAGACTTCATCAGGGCGCTCATGTATGTCGTCAAGGACATGCCCCAGGACTTGCCCGAGAAGACAAGATCATCTGCCCAGCTCACACTCGAGATTCTCCTGAAGAAAGTTACCAAGAACGCCAAGAAGGAAGACGCTTTGCCATCAACTACACCCGGTCAAGCTCCGCAGCGGCACCGACTGGCTCAGATCTGCATGCATTTCAATAACGAGCTTGCACACATGAATCGTCATGTGCGCGAGACGGCAAAGAGATCACTGGAGCTTATCGCCAAGGCAGCCAGTTGTGAGGTTTGGGAATTGATTGAGCCGTACAAGGAGCGCTTCCTACAGCCGATCTATTCCAAACCCCTGCGTGCTCTGCCGTTCCCTGTTCAGATCGGGTACATCGACGCGATGACCTACCACATGACACTCAAGCACGACTGGGTTACTTTCGATGAACACCTCAATCGTCTGCTCATGGAGTCCCTTGCCTTGGCGGATGCCAGCGACGAATCACTCGCGAATAAGCCAGCGGAGTTCCGTACTCATGACTATATTGTCAACCTCCGCGTAGCATGCATCAAGATGTTGAGCACTGCCATGAGCTTTGATGAGTTTGCCAAAGGCACAAACATGGCGGCCACGCGAGCCAAGATTGTCTCCGTCTTTTTCAAGTCCCTTTACTCCGAGTCGCAGGCCACTATTGATGCCGCCAACGACGCCCTCAAGTCCGTACTACAACAGACCAACAAGCTGCCCAAGGATCTCCTTCAAGGGGGACTGCGGCCTGTTCTCGCCAGCCTTCAAGATCCTAAGAAGCTGACATCCCATGGTCTGGATAATTTGGCTCGTCTCTTGAAGCTTCTGACAACATACTTCAAAGTTGAGATCGGAAGTCGCCTTCTCGACCACGTCAAGATTCTAGCGGATCCAAACGTGCTGCAAGCGATTTCCTTCACCTACTTTGAGCAACATCCTCAGATGAAGGTTGTCTCCGCGGTTTTCAATATTTTCCACCTTCTCCCTCCCGCTGCTGAGACCTTCAAGGAACGTCTGATCGATCTTGTTCTCGACCTCGAAGAGAAGCTGCGCCGCACTCACGTCAGCCCTTTCCGACCTCCGCTCTACAAGTATCTCAACCGCTACCCGGCAGAAATGTGGGCTTTCTTGATGCCGAAGATAGGCGAAGTCAAATACGGTCGATTCCTGGCTCAGGTTCTCTCCCATCCCGACAGCGGACCCCTTCGCAAGGAAGCCGTGTCCGGCGTGGATAACCTAGTCAAGGCTTGCAACGAGATTGTCACGCAAGACAAGGAGACAAAGTTTGTGGCGATCATCAACACGATCCATGTTCTTGACTCTCTGGGTCAGTGGCCCGCGTGCGACGCTTGGATGGACAAGAAGGAAATCTTGACGTGGATGAAGCAAGTGGGCAAAGAGCTTGAGGCACAGCTGCGCAAGTATACACTGGCAGCTAACCTCCGCATGCCGGCTGCTCAAGCTTCGGAGCAGCTCATGAACATTCTTCTCAAGTCTCTTGAAAGAAATCCGAAGGATTTGGAGTTACTGTTCAGCATCGTCGAAGCGGTCACGTCCGAGGACTTCCGAGACCCTCAACCCCTCATCGCTTATGTGTACAAAAACATCATCAACAACGATTCTGTTGAGATTGGCGTCGCGGCAATTTTGAAGTGTTTGGAGGCCTACTCTTCCCGCAATATTTCTCAGAAGATGAAGTGCTTCTTGCTGCACAACATTGTCAACCCCACCATTGCAATGGATGTTCAGCGGCATTGGAACTCCACACAACAGGGCCAGCCGCGCTTGATAGATCGAGCTGTCATTGATGCTGTGGTGGCAAAGGTCTGGAAGTCAAACCAAGATACCAGCCAACAGGATCACGACGACCTCGCTCAACCCGGCATCGATCATACCAAGTTCGAAGTCCTGCAACTGTCCGCGCTGCTCTTGAAGTACCACTACCAGACGATCCAGGAGACCAGGAAGGATATCATCAAGAGCTGCTGGACCTTTATCCGCCTGGATGATGTCATCAACAAGCATGCAGCTTATGTGGTCATTGGGTACTTCATTGCGCTCTACGATACGCCCATCAAGATCGTTACTCAGGTCTATCTTTCGCTGTTGAAGGCCAACCAGAACGAGGGCCGGGCCCTGGTGACACAAGCCTTGGAGCTCGTGGCGCCTGTGCTCCCCAAGCGACTCAACACTCCGCAGAACGACCGAAACGCGGCTTGGGCTATTGCACCGAGAAGAGTGCTGGCCGACGAAGGCCAGAATGCGCAGCAAATGACGAGCATTTTCCACTTCCTCGTTCGACATCCAGAACTGTTCTACGACTCCCGCGACAAGTACGCTATGCTGATCATCACGTCGCTCAGAAAGGTTGCCGCACCTGCAACCGCGTCGAATGAGTCAAAGAAGCTCGCCCTGAACATGATGTGGCTCATCTGGCTTTGGGAACAGAGGAGAGTGGAAGGAAAGGGCGATGCCCTGGCACGCTCTCAATCACAGTCGCCAAACTCAAAGAAGAGGAAGCTCGACGGTGACCAGCCCATGTCATCACCTCCTTCTGTCAAGCAGCAACTCGCGCCCAATGATTATCAGATCCCTCCAGTTGGACGTCTCAAGATGATCCGCTATCTGATTGAGTTCATTGCCCAGTTGAACGAACGGTATCAGGTTCCATCTGCCAAGTTCAAAGACTCGCCCACGTTGGCAGGTTTCGCCGCGCCTAGCGCATCATCAACTGAGCTCTGCAAGAAGTCCATGTCACTTCTCTATCATCTGCTGCAGCCTCAATACTGGAGTGATCTCGATATCGACCTCTTTCCTCACGTCACCGATGCCGTGCTCGCTAGCGACAGAACGCAAACTGTTCTCACGGCGGATCCGAGCGACAAGGAGAAGTTTGATAACAAGTTCATCACCAACATCATCAACACTCTGCAAGTCGTGCGGATCATTCTCAATGTCAAATCAGACGACTGGGTCCAAAAGAACATGTCCTCTATACAGAAGGTTCTTGACAAGTGCTTGAAGAGCGAGAACCCGGAAATCCAGGATTGTCTCCACGCTGCGGATCCTGAGAACGATGACAATCGGGAGCTCAAGGCTATCGTCAAGCGCGTTTTGGAGGCTGTTCCCGAAGATGTCCCCATGGAAGATGCTGATGCCGACGGTGAGACAGAGGCGCAAACTTCAGAAATCATCCAAGCTCTTTCCACAACAGCTGGAGAAGCTATGGCAGCAGGCAACTACACTTCTGGAGTCAACACCTTATGGTCACTTGGCAACCGGAAGCCGACAATCATCGACCAGCACATTGCCGTCCTCATGAAGGCCCTTCAGAGTAAGCTTGCACGTGAGCATGTTCAGCATTACAGCATCGTCGCGAATCTGCAAGCCGGCGGAGCACCTCCTAATAGGGGCCCGGACGCGCCACCGTCTGGCGAAATGTCAACATATGACCTCGAGGTCTCAACAGCTCTCATGCTCAAGGCAATGCAGGTTGTCGCTCTCAGGATGGAGGTCCTCGGTGACAACCGTCGCCCGTTCCTCAGTGTCCTGGCCACACTAGTTGAAAAGTCCATGCACATCCCCTTGTGCGAAGAGATTCTCGTCATGGTGGAGGGCTGGGTTTTCCGTTCCGAAGGCACGTGGCCGACTCTGAAGGAAAAGACCGCCGTTCTCCACAAGATGCTCTCTTTCGAGCACCGACAAGATCCCACCATGCTCACAAAGTTCCTTGAGCTTGTGATTAGGATCTACGAGGATCCAAAAATCACCAGGACCGAGTTGACTGTGAGGATGGAGCACGCTTTCCTCATTGGTGCCAGAGCGCAGGATGTTGAGATGCGAAATCGCTTCATGGCCATCTTTGACAAGAGTCTGTCCAAGACGGCAACTGCCCGCCTGTCGTACGTGCTCACGGCGCAGAACTGGGACACTCTTGCAGATAGCTTCTGGCTTGCCCAGGCCTCGCAGCTTCTTCTGGGTGCTGTGGAGCTGAATGCGGCTGCTCAACTACACGCCGAAGACTTCAGGACACTGCCGGCCAGCCAGTTGTGCATGATTTACGCCAAGGATACCAGAGAGCCGGCAAACATGGCGGACGACAAATTCGACACCCTCATTGCACAACATCGTCGCTTCATGAACGAAATCGCCGATGTCAAGGTCCGCGACCTCGTCGAGCCCCTCAGCCAGCTCCAGCACATCGACAACACGTTGGCCCATCAGCTTTGGGTTTCGGTTTTCCCAATCTACTGGTCTGCGACGGCTAGGGATGAGCGCATTGAGCTTGAGCGTGGAATTGTGACTCTCCTGACGAAGGATTATCACAGCCGTCAAATCGACAAGCGGCCCAACGTCGTTCAGTCGCTGCTGGAGGGCGCTGCGAAGGCGTGGCCTAGCTGCAAGATTCCGCCCCACGTGCTCAAGTACGAAGCCAAGACGTACGACACGTGGTACACGTCGCTTGTGCAGCTTGAGAATGCAGCAATCAAGCCGGAAATGGAGTCTGCCAAGGTTCGTGAGAGCAACCTCGATGCTCTTGTCGATCTCTATGCGTCATTGCAGGAGGACGACCTCTTCTACGGAACGTGGAGACGCCGCTGCCAATTTGTTGAGACAAACGCTGCCCTCTCTTATGAGCAGAACGGCATGTGGGATAAGGCTCAAAAGATGTATGAAGCTGCACAGATCAAGGCTCGAACTGGCGTCATCCCTTTCTCGCAGGGAGAGTACATGCTGTGGGAGGATCATTGGGTTCTCTGCGCCCAGAAACTCCAGCAATGGGACATCTTGCAAGACTTTGCCAAGCACGAAAACTTCCAAGACCTGCTCCTGGAGTGTGCCTGGCGCAACACGGAAATGTGGCAGGACGGCAACCAGCGAGATGCGTTGGACACTCTGATCAAGGGCGTTATGGACGCTCCTACTCCTCGCAGGGCGTTCTTCCAGTCATTCATGGCCCTGCTCAAGTTCCACAACAAGCTTGAGACGCACGCCGAGTTCGCCAAGTCTTGCGACGAAGCGATCCAGCTGTCCATCCGCAAGTGGCACCAGCTTCCTCAGCAGCTCACAAAAGCACACATTCCGCTGCTGCAGAACTTCCAGCAGCTTGTTGAGCTGCACGACGCTCAAGTCATCTGCCAGAGCTTGTCGAGCACCAATCAGTCGAACCTTGACGTCAAGTCCGGCGAGCTTAAACTGCTGCTTGGCGCGTGGCGAGACCGCCTGCCCAATGTATGGGACGACATCACAGCTTGGCAGGACCTTGTCACATGGCGCCAGCATATTTTCGGGCTCATCAACCAAACCTACTTGCAACTCCTCCCACAACAGGGTGGCAACCAGAACACTAACGGTGCTTCGTTCGCGTACCGCGGCTACCACGAGACGGCGTGGATCATCAACCGTTTCGCCCACGTTTCTCGCAAACACAACCTGCCCGACGTGTGCATCAGCCAGCTGAGCAGGATCTACACACTGCCCAATATCGAGATTCAAGAGGCGTTCCTCAAGCTCCGCGAGCAAGCCAAATGTCACTTTGAGAACCCTGAGGAGCTGACGAGTGGATTGGATGTCATCAACAACACCAACCTCAACTACTTCAATCCACCGCAGAAGGCCGAGTTCTACACACTCAAGGGCATGTTCCTGGAGAAGCTCGGCCAAAAAGAGGAGGCTGACAGCGCGTACGGTACCGCCTTGTACTTCGATATCACCGCGGCCAAGGCGTGGGCTGAGTGGGGCTACTTCAACGAACGAAGGTTCAAAGCCGATGCCAACGATGTCAACTCGGCTCGTCAGGCTCTGACAAGCTACCTGCAAGCTGCAGGAAGCTACAAGAACGCCAAGTCGAGAAAGCTCCTTGCGCGGATCCTGTGGCTCCTCAGCCTCGATGATGCCACGGGGACCATCGCTGCTGGTTTCGACGACTTCAAGGGAGAAACACCGATCTGGTACTGGATCACGTACATTCCCCAGCTGCTCACAGGTCTCGCCTACAAGGAGGGGCCCCGCGTCCACCAGATCCTCACCAAGATTGCCAAGTCGTACCCTCAAGCACTTTACTTCCAGCTCCGCACCAACAGGGAGGACATGGCGGTCATCAAGAAGAACCAAGAAGCCAAGGAACGGGCCCGCCAGCGCGCCCAGTCGGCTGCCTCGCAGCAGGCCAGCGCTTCTCCTCAGCTACCTAAGAATGAGACCGTCTCGGGTGCTGCGTCAAGCTCGAGACCGGGCACCGCTAACGGCGACGGCGCTCTTGTTAAGACCGAGGGCGGTGACACCAAGTCATCGTCGGTGCCACCAGCACCTGCAGACGGCGGCACGCCCGCACCAGCAGCAACCCCAGTGCCCGCTCCCACCCCTACGCCTGCACCGGCTTCTGTGCCGGTACCGGCGCAAGCGGCTCAAACTCAGAGTGACCAGCAGCAACAGCAGTCCGGGGCCGGCCAGAAGAAGCCGCCCTGGGAGCTGACCGAGGAGATCATGAGCCACTTGAAGTCTGCTTTCCCACTGTTGGCTCTGTCAATGGAGACCATGGTGGATCAAATCCAGAAGCACTTCAAGTGTCCTCCGGATGAGGACGCGTATCGACTGATCGTGGCGCTGCTGAACGACGCTCTGGCCTATGTGAGCCGTATGCCTTCATCATTTGCCAAGATTAAGCTTCCGTCGGCGACTGAGACGAACATTACGCGGTTTGCCGAGACAATTCTGCCTCCGCATATCAAGAAGTCGTTTGAGGCCGACTTTGTGCAGACCAAGCCGACGATGGACGATTACATTTACAAGCTCCGACGGTGGCGCAACAAGTTCGAGGAGAAGCTCGACCGCCGATCAACGCGCGTGTCCCTCGAGGCCTTCTCGCCGCATCTCAGTGAGTTCCGGTACCAGCGATTCGACGATGTGGAGATCCCCGGCCAGTATCTGGAGCACAAGGACAAGAACCAGGATTTCATCCGCATCGAGCGATTCCTGCCAAACGTCGAGCTCGTGCGGTCCATCAGTGCTTCATACCGACGGCTCAAGATCCGCGGCCACGATGCGAGCGTGCACTCGTGGGCGGTGCAGCACCCGGCGGCGCGTCACTGCCGACGCGAGGAGCGCATTCTGCAGCTCTTCCGGCAGCTCAACCAGACGCTCAACCGGCGCAAGGAGAGTCGGCGCCGTGACATGCAGTTCACGCTGCCGCTGATGGTGCCGCTGGCACCACACATTCGCATCGTGCAGGAGGACACGTCGTACATCACGCTGCAAGGGGTGTACGAGGACCACTGCCGGCGCAACTCGATGAAGAAGGACGACCCAGTGCTGTTCACGATGGAGAAGTTGCGGGGTGTCCTGGACACAAAGAACGCGGTATGTATCCGCGGCGACGGGCATCCAACGGACGCACGTACTGACCAAGCACAGAAACACGGAGAGCAGACGGCGACGGCGCGCCTCGAGGTGTTCAACGCGATCCAGGAGAAGTGGGTGCCGCACACGTTGGCGCTCGAGTACTTCCAGAAGATCTTCCCGAGCTTTACGGACTTTTGGCTGTTCCGCCGGCAGCTGTCGTACCAGATGGCGGCGCTGACGTTCATGACGTACATCCTGTACATGCACAACCGGTACCCGCAGAAGATCAACATTGCGCGGGCGTCGGGCAACATTTGGGGCTCGGAGCTCATGTCGTACATGAGCGCGGGCAAGCCCTTCTTCCACAACCCGGAGCCGGTGCCGTTCCGTCTGACGCCGAACCTGCAGACGCTCATGGGCCCGCTCGCGATGGAGGGCATCTTCAGCTGCTCGCTCATGGCGATCGCGCGGTGCCTGCTCGAGGGCGAGCACGAGCTGGAGAATGCGCTGACGCTGTTTGTGCGGGACGAGATGATCTTCTGGTTCACGAGCTCGCACCGGGCCGTGCAGATGACGGAGCACCAGCTGCGCGAGTCGGTGCAGGTCAACAGCGACTCGATCGTCAAGCGGGCGACGAGCCTCGCGCAGAGCCCGGCGAGCAACCTGCCGGCCAACCAGACGGTCATCGACCTCATCGCCAAGGCGGTCAACCCGATGAACCTCGCGCAGTGCGACGCCCTGTGGATGCCGTATCTGTAAGGGGCTGTCGAGGGGTGGACGAGATTTGGGGAGAGCAAATAGGAGACGTAGCAGAGAGAGAGAGGGAGAGTGAGAGCGAAAAAAGCGAGGACATTCTTTGTTTGTCTGTACAGCATGGCGTTGGGGATCGATGGATGGGAGGGAATGAATCGAACAGGAAAGGGGGAAGTCGGCTGGGATGGGTCGGAACGAGGAGCTGCGTTGATTTTGTCATGGTGGTTTTTTTTTTTTTTTTTTTGCCACGTTGTATGATCAGTTTATGATTGTCGTTACAAGGGCATAAATATTGTCTGTTTGTTCTTATTAATTCGGTAATATTCATTATCCTAGGAATTTTCCCTTGCAATGTGCTGGTGTCGTGGTCGACATCACATCATTCATCATACATCAATGCCTCGCCGTGTTCGGACGTAATACGGGACAAGGCCAGGTACAGTGCAAGCTGCCGCATCGCTGTGGAGCGAGACACTGTAGAATCCACTCGAGATAATCCAACATCTCGCATCGTCGACCTCATTGTCAAACCCCATCCCAAGTCACTCACTTGTCGCTTGTTCTAAGGCTCAGCAACACTCGGGCCGACGCTTTATGTTGTTTGGCTGCCTCTTCAATGCTGCACAGAGAAGCGCACCATGCCGTCAGACGAGCTCAGCGATGAGATTGAGGCTCTCAATTCCATATATGGCGACGGCACCCTGTCACCGTCAACATCATCAGATGCGGTAGATGTGTACGTGCTCGTGCTGCCGGCCGAGGACACAGATGGCGGCGCAGCCTCTTCCGACCTCGCCGCCCGCGCCGCGTTGCGCCTGTACATCCCGCCGTCGTATCCGTCCTCGGAACCCCCATCGGTGCTGGCCACCCACTCAGCCGGCGCCCACGCCAAGCCCGGCGCCGCAGCCCACGCACTGACGCTGTTTCGCGCCGCCCTCGCAGAGACGTACACGCCAGGCGAGGTATGCCTCTTTGACGCCATTGAAGACTTCTCCCAGCGCATGCAGGCGTCGGCGCCGGACGCCGCCGCCCCGGCCTTGCGCACGCCGTCACCGTCCCGCTCACGCGCTACGTCGCCAGGCGCAGCAGGGGCATCAGCAACGTGTACAGACACGCAGGCGCCGCCGCCGTGGACGCTCTCGGACCCGCTGACGGAGCTCAAGTCGACGTTTCTCGCACGGGCGGCGGCCGTGACGTCGCCGGCGCAGGCCAACGCGTACGTGGCGCACCTGCTGGCGACGGACAAGAAGGCGCGGGCGGCGACGCACAACATTACGGCGTGGCGAGTGCGGGGCCCGCGGGGCGCGAGCTTCCAGGACTGCGACGACGATGGCGAGAGCGCGGCCGGCGGCAGGGTGCTCAAGCTGCTGCAGATGATGGACGTCTGGGACGTCATGGTTGTCGTGACGCGATGGTATGGCGGGCAGAAGCTGGGGCCCAGGCGGTTTGCCGTCATAAACATGGTGGCGAGGCAAGCGGTCGTCAGGCTCGTTGGTGAAGCTGCCGGTGGTGGAGGGGGAGGCAAGGGAGGGAAGAAGTAGCAGGGCATGGGGGTTGTAGAAGAGATGAAACCTGGGCATGGAGCAGAGCCATGATGCTGGACATGTCAAAGACAGCAGCGATGGTTTGTGGAAGTGGAAGAATTGCTGTCTTTGGGTGTTCGTCGATTTCAGCAGTTCATGAATCAGCCTTGAATTTCCATGGAAGCTGCCAGTGGCCGGTGCCTATTCCTGCCTCTTGGTGACTGCCTACCGCCTGCCTCTGTTGACTGTCTAGGGCACTGCTTGATGCCGCCTGCCTTGATGACCTTGATGCCGCCTGCTGACTTCCTCGATGTCACCTGCCTCGATGTCCATGATGCCGCCTGCCCCGATCATTTATTGATGCCGCCTGCCCGCTGACCTTGATGCCGCCTGCCCGATGACCTCGATGCCGCCTGCCTCAGATGAGGCCCATGCTCCTTTGTCCTGCTCGCATCCCTTCGTGATGCATCATAACCGTCGCCTTTTCTTTGGGCTTCGGTAGCCCTGGTATATATCTCAACAGTCCTGCCAACGCCCAGCTACACACAAGTCCAAGCACTGCCTACCGCAGCAGTGGCTCCAAAATCTCCACCGCCCGCCTCGCCTGCTCAGGCGCCAGCACAACCGTGCCCGCAAACGCCGTCGACAGATACGACAGCCCATGGCCCGCAATGACAGGGTCCTGCACGAGGCGGCCCGCCACGCCGCACACGATGCCCGTCGCCTCGAGCGGCAGCCCGGCGAGGTCGAGCGAGAGGGCCACGAGCTCCTCGTCGGCCGAGCCCACGAGCGTGTCCCCAAACAGCGGCACGAGCGCCCGATCGAGCAGCAGGCTCGGCGGGTCGTCGACGGCGAGCGTCAGGCTGAAGAAGCGGGGGCGCGCCACGAGCGCCGACACGACGGACGC